AGGGTTATTATTACTGTTTTCAATGAACACCGAAACATCGCCAAATTGATATTGAATCCAACAATTATATTTGTTATATGTGTGGTATGTAAACTAGTGCGTAGCCCGTGCGATGCACGAGAAAATAATTATAAATTAAAGACGCAGGTAAATAGCATTAGATAATAATAATAAATTATATATTTGGGATTAAAATGTGATATAATTTATGTATATCGATTTGTTGTACAATATAAAATTATCATGTACAAAAGAACAGAAAACATGTATGTTTAAAGTATTAAAAATACTTAAAATAACACACGTAAAGATATCTAAAATATTCTTCATTATTCTTAAAAAATGTTAAGTCACCTAAACTTCCACTAAACTATTTTGTAAAGACAATATGTCTAAAAGCACCTAAAGATATAAACTTTAATGTACTAGTAAAGTGCACGTGCATCGCACGTGACGGCGAATGTTTTTTGCCGATTAAGTTTAGTAAAATAAATTAATTAATTTATTAAACATATCATTGTAAGAACAAAATAAAATGTAGAACAAATGAGGTCCTAATGTATTTGTTTTTTTAAAATAACATAACGATGTACTAATGTAAACAGAATAAAATAACATATTACAACCCCAACAAAAATATATGCAAAATGAGTCAATAATTTTTTTAAGAAGACACTTAATAACAAAATAAAGACATAATTTAATATAAATGCATTAGTTCTTTTATTTATTAATGTTTACCGATTCAAGAGTGATTTTCTTTCATTTTAGTTTTGAGACGTTCTCATAAAAAAACATACGTATCCATTCGAGTTCTATACATCAATAGACAAATTCTTCTTATTAGACAAAAAGTCTACTTTATTCAAACAATGCAAAATATTTTGTCTAAATATATAGTCAAACTCTATGGTTATGATCTTTAGAAGGTATTATTAATAACAATTAATGAATATCTCAATGAAATAATCAACCGTGTCATTAAAATTGTTGATATATTTTTTTTAAACTACTTCATTATTCTCTCTCCATATAGACAAATTGACACCTCCCACATTGAGACATCTCCCCACGAGGTGAGAATGAGTTTCATTTCCAAATAAAAGTTGACCTTTCAAAATCTTGGTTACATATACTTCTCCCGAGACACTAAATTATTTTTTTAAATCATCACACATTACATGAAAACTAAATTATTTTTTGAAATCATCAGACATTCCATGAAAGTATATACTCTAGAGTAATTCCACATATATTCGAGCATAATACACCAATGGGAATTGTAAATATTTCTATCAAAATATGATAACTTTATTTAAAAATTCAATAATATTTTGATCATTCTCTGACATTTCCTTTTCAATGTTATTTATTTAGAAGATAGACGAACTATATAATATTTTGTTTGCAAATCATTGAGCATCTTGGTTGTTCCAATGATTTCTGACGCATTTATTGTCCAAATTTTTGCATCAAACATAATGTTTCGAAAATTTATGATAAATATCTTTTCTTGATTCTTTAACAATGAAAAAAAAAACAATGAGATAATATTGAGAAACATATCCTTTGTTAAAATCTTAGAGAGGAGAAAAATTAAAAATCTATTATATTATAATATTCTTCACCATCTGTGAACTTTATTATCACAAAGTCATTATACAAATATACAATATGTATTATAAAGTTTTTTATTTTTTAATTATTTAAAAAATCAAAATTTATAATATAGGATCAATATTTATGAGAATTTAAACGCTAGTAATAAAAAATGTAGTAATTAGAAAAGACTTTTGTTTCTAGATGTTGATATTCATATTTCTCTAAAAAAAATCAGACTTCTTTTTGCTCATTCTCTTACTATTATATCTGTTTCTTATTGTATTCACAAATAATATTTTATTTGTTAAAAGAATTTTGTCATATTTATATGTATTGTTTAATTTTTTTACGCGATTTATATAATTATGTTGTTATCAAAGTATCTTATTTATTAGGCTACAACTATAATCACATACGATAAAATATAATTTAATATTACTTATTTATTTATTTATAATAATATATATTTTATAAAATTATACTTTTATACTGTTTATAAATTAAAAAGTTTACATTTTTTTTTCAATGTTTGATGAAATATCATGTAACTAACTCATTTTCATATTATATTCATTGAAAGTATACGTTGCAACGATTATGGTGTTCCCTTTCAAAAAGTATTGAATAATAGTTTAGCATACTACTCATTTATTTCTCTTTTTAATTCACATAATTAAAATTGACAATCGTTGTAAGTTTACATTTATTTTTCTATTTTTTTCGTAGTATAAATATTTCAAATCTATGTAAGAAAAATATAACACACGTTTATCTTATGTTATTTTATACGTAATAATATTTATTTAACATGGATTTATAATCTATTTTATGAGATGCTTTTAGGTCTATTTATTATTTTAAATTGATATATATATATATATATATTATTCTATATCGCTAGAAATAATTATAATATTTTTATTTTATTTACAATAGACTGTCAAATCAAACATCATTGGAAAGAAATGGTGTGATATATTACATATAAAAGGATAATAAATAAAAAAATATTAAGTATTTCAATAGTGAAAAATTTAATGTTGGATAGTAATGAAATATTAATTAGAAAACTAATATTAATATCCCTATTTTGAATGAAAAAAAAAATTGTGTACTTAAAAGTTCTAGTTCAAATAAATGTGCATCTTAGATGTGTTTTATATTTCTCATTAATCAGCTCCAACTGATGGATGACATTAACGAATTTTATCACTTTTTTTACTTTTGGATTGAATTAGAACTATAAGCTTGAGCATTGTAAAGTTTAATTTTCTATTACATAGAACATCATTCTTAACTCTTGTTTAGTTATTATAATACTAATAAAATAGGTAAGAACATTTAACCTAGATGTATCTTGTTTGTTTTGAAAAAAAAGTACTAATTATAATAAAGTAAAGTATAATTGCATTCATGTGTTATATATTCAATCATTATCAACAATTTTCATAATAATTAATTGCACACTTGAAAAAAAAAATTGCACACAATAGTATATATAACGCAAATGGAGAAGTACCTTTGCTACAAAAAAAATTATGAAATTCCAACGACAATTTCGACAAGAATGTATTACAATCGAATTTCAATGACAGTTCTAACGAATATGAAAATGTTATTCCTTTCATTTGAATTATTTCAATAAAAATTATAACAAAAATATTTTGTTGGAATCATGGGCAGATCTATTTTTTTTAATTTGTGACTCAACCAATTTTACTTCAATTCAGCTCATAACTTTATTAAAGTTATAACATAAACACAATTTTACAACTAAAAAAAATAGGATAAATCTAGAAATTATAATTTCACCCTTTTAATTTTATTTTTTTAATCTTGATGATAGCTTCTATTCTCTCTTTTGCAACATATTTTTTTTCTCTAACTTTTTTCATGTCTTTTTTAACTGATGTATGTAGAATTATAGGTTATATTTTATTAATTATATTGTCGAGTCAACTATATCACAACATAAATTTTTTGCTCCTAAAAATTTTAAAAAATATTATTTTCAATGATTTTATTATGTGGAAGAAAAATTATGTTTTTCTTATGTTAATTTATTTTAACTTATCGTGACTGTATTCATGTATTAAAAATGTATCACATGTGAGAAATATGACATATTATAAAAATTATAATTTATAAATTATAAAAGCATTATGTTATTTTGATGGTATAGTGCCCCTCTGTAAGAATTATTTTGGATCTGCTACTGCAATTAGCTTTCCAAGAAAACTTCCTTTGAATTTTTTACAATTCCAATGGCTATGTTTTCCAACGATTGAAATATTATTCAAGAAAGATTCCAATGAAAAATTCAACAATAAATAATTATAATTGAAATAATTAAATCAGTCAAATTCTAATGTAATTTAATATTATCTCTGTTGGAATAGCCAATGAAAATTTTCAATTAAAGTTATACCAATGAAATATCCGTTGAAATTTTCAGTGGAATACCTTACGGTTGTTTTTTTTTTATTGTATTCATTCTTAAACATTAAATTTTTATATAGTATCTTTTGTTATTAATTAATTATCTTTACAATTTTGCTATTAAAAATACATTAAACACATGGCTTTTTAGTCCATGTAATTTTTTTAGAAACCACTCATTATTTTATATCAAGATTACGTATTAATTTCTTAATTGAGTTATATTTCTTACATATTAAATGTTAAAATAATGAAAATATTTACTATTGTATAAATGTAATAAGATATTTGGTTATTATATTTAAAAAACTAATAGCAGATAAACAAGTTATTTAAAATTAGAAAATCAATTTTTTTTTTTTAATTTTAAAAGTTCCAACCTAAATGGATAAAAATACAAATAACTATTGTCTGTCACCTAAACCTTACACATAGAATTAATAATCACAAAACATTAACAAATGTTTACAACTCAACTCGT